CTCTCTCAACGAAGGCAGAGAAGGAGCGGGAGCAGAAAGGGAAGAAGGGCCAGGCGGCTGCAGGGGCCAAGCCCAGAGCCTTTCACGCTGGCTGCAGGCTGTCTCGCTGGTCCTCCAACAGGTGTTGGGACAAAGGTTCCTGGCAGGTGGCTCTCTGTCCTTCTGTCCCAGGGGATTTGGGGAGGTGATGTGTAGTGAGAAGAGGTTCACGTGTCTCCCCAAGGCTTTGTGCCCTAGAGCTGAGCCACTCTGGCCGTTCCCAACAGGGAGGGACCCCAGGGCCCCCTTCCCAGCCTGCGCGAACACCTCATTTCTTGGCAGCTGGTGCCTCCTGGAAGAGAGGTGGTGCCCACTGGGATTTGGGGGGCTTGGACCGGCCTCTGTGCAAGGGAGAAGCCTGGGCCAGGGACGGAGCTGGTCCATTGACCTCATGAGGCCCTGCTGGGGGGAGCGCCCCACAATCCGGGGTCTGGTCTCGCCTCCATCCTATCAGTCCTGGGCCTCCATCACTTCCTCCAGCGGGAGGTCCCAACACCCCCTCCGCCTAGTCCACAGCCGGTCCCATTTGCCTGGGCAGGGGCGATGGGTGGGCCTGCTCTCCCCAAAGCGCGGGGTCGGGCCTGCCTGCGTTGGTGGTTTGGGTGGCAGGCAGCCGGCCTGACTGGGTCTGTGCTGAGCACGGCAGCATCGGGCCCTGGGTGGGGGCTGCCCCAGCGACACCTGTTGAGCTGGAGCTCACAGAGCAGGAGCCTCCTTAGCGCTGGGGAGGGAGGGTGCTCCTAGGCAGGCAGAGCCCGGCAAAGGGGGCGTGGGTGCCTGAGACAGGCAGGACCCCCAGACTATGCCACCTGGGGACTTGATCCTAGCAGGCTGTGGCCCAGGCTTTCTGGGAGCAGCAGCCGTGCGGGTATCTGGGGAGAAGATAACCCACCTTACTGCCCCGTGAGTAGCCCCTGCGTAGCCAGGAACCTGTGGCCTTTTGCCGTGGTGGGAAGATGGGCCGGGATTGGCGCTGAGGCAGGGCTGACGGGGAGTCCAGCCTTGCCTGCCACACCTGGGGCAGGTCTGCTGAGGATTGGAGCCGTTAAGGGGCTGATTTAAGCCAGGCAGTGCCCACACCACCGTGCCTAGGGCTGCAAGGCCGCCTGACCCCTAGTGCAAGGGGCCAGGGGTGTGCAGAGCCGTGCCTTTTTCATGGAGGGGCACAGCCTGGCACACCTGAGTCCCCACCACCGCTGCACACCTGAGAGCCCCTACTACCCCTGCACACCTGAGATTCCCCACCGCCCCTGCACACCTGAGTCCCCACCATCCCTGCAAACCCGAGAGCCCCCACCATCTCCTCCCCACCACCCCTGCATGCCTGAGTTCCCACCTCCCCTGCACACCTGAGAGTCCCCCCACCACCCATAGGAAGCCCTTCCTGGGGTGTCTGGTTCCTCCTGCCCACCTGGCTGGCCTGGGTCCGCTGGCCCCGTGCCCACCCTCTGCTCGGCCTTGCCTCACGCTCCATCTCTGCCCCACTTGACCGTAAACTCCTGAGGGCAGGACCTGAATAAAGTCCCCACTTAGTCCCTCTCCCCCTCCTCATTTTGGGATGGAAGGAGCTGTCGTTTGTCCCCTGGGGGTGGCAGATGGCTGCTTAGCTTAGAAAGGAAAACAGCACAGTTTAGAATTAGTCCTGGGTGAAAGGTCGAGACAACATCTGCCTCCGCATGCTTTCTGGAGTCGCATTTCTATGGAGAGGCGCTGGCGGGGCGGCCCCCCCAGTGGAGGGAGGACAAAGCCAGAGGCCTGGCTGGTGGGGGTATGGGGGGGGCGTTGGCCTGTGGGAAGCCGGCCCCTCCGCAGTCCTGCTCCTGGGGTCCCGGCCTGGCTGCTGCTCACCTGCCACCCGCCACAACTGGGCAGGTGCCCGGGTGACCTTCGGAGGGACGCAAGGAGAGGGAGCCTCCCTGGCCTGGCGTGGGCAGGGTCCTCACGCGGGAGGTGTGGTGTGGGTCACTCTGCGAAACCCTGGCCTGGCGCGCTCTGGGGTCTTGCAGCACCAGGCGGGTGCGGCTTCCCACGCCAGACCCTGGCGCCCATCCCCATCACTCTAGCCCACCTGCCAGGACAGGTGCTGAGGACAAAAGGGCGTTGGTGGTAGGGATTGGCCACCGCCAGGGCTGTGAGGGCTTGGTCACAGGCTGGCGGTCCTGGCCATACCCAGCTGCAGCCTCGAGGTCCCTCCCACCTTCTCAGGGACATCTGGGTAGGAGGTGACAGGTGTCTGTCACCAGGTACTCCAGTTCTGGCCAGGTGGGACAGAGGAGCCCAGCAGGGAGAGGAGCGATCCTGGGACTGGCCCCAAAGCCATGCCCCCCTCGCCCAGATCGCTGCCCCTGGGCTCAGGCTGTGGTTCTCGCACAGCCGGTGTCTGTCTCAAAGCACCTCCAGGGGCCCCTGGTGGCCCTGCCTGTCCTGTTTGTGGGGACAGCGCCTTCACTGTGGGGTTCCAGAGCCCAGGGTGGGGGTGTGGAGGACAACGTGCCCTCTCAGCTGGGCATTCCCCCACGGGGAGCGCTGGGGCTCCCGCCCGCCCGCTGGGAGCAGCTGCCACCGCGGCCAACACCTGCCGCGCCGCCCTTTGCCCGTGCCGCCGACGCCCGGGTGTTGGGCGTGTTTTCCTGCTCACGGCCCAGCGTGACACAGCCGCCTTCGCTGGGATGAGCCGTCAGGGCAGGTCTCCCCCCGTCCTCCCGGCTGGGGAAGGGAATGGGGTGTCAGCTGGGCGCTGCCCCATGGCTGGACGGTGTGGGGCGCGTGTCTGGGCAGAGCCTTCTGGTCCATCTGGGGACTCCAGTGTCCGTCACGTTAGGGCATTTAGCAGCGAATGGCTCTAGGGCCAGGGCCTGAGGCCTCGCGCGTGTGAGGGGCACTGGGCAGCATGTGTGGTTCCCCCGAAGCCGAGGGGTGGGCCCATCTTGCCCACCCAGGCAACTTTCCTCTCCAGAGCCTTCATCTGCTGGGGCCGGCAGGGGCCCAGAGCGTGTGCCTGCGGCGTGGACGGCTTCCCCAGACCCAGCTTTGATGGCGCGTCCTGTGTCCCACGCCCACATACTGCTGACTTCGTCAGCGGCTGGGAAAGAAAAAAGAGCCTTTTCTCCGAGTGGAGCTGTGGCCACCCCCTGCCGCACAATGGGGCATTGATGGGGAGGGCAGGGCACCGCTTCTGTGGCCATGGCCCAGCCCAGCCGCTGGGTTCCGAGGAGTCCCGGTGGTTGGTGGCTCAGGCGGCCGGGACCGGCCAGCCTGGAACCGGGTCCACCTGCAGTGGGGGGCCGGACCTGCCTTCCCCACGCTCCCTCTTGTGCCCTTGCAGGAGTCTGCGCTGCCGGAGCGGCAGGGGCAGGTGTGGACGCGTAGGCTCCCCGTGTTCCCGGCCACATGGGGGGCCTCACTCCAAGGCTTGCCGTGCCTGGGAGGAGCCAGCTGTCCCTGCCCCTCCTTCCTAAGAGGGCTGGGCCGGAGCCGCAGCTAAGGCCCGAGTTTGCTCCCAGAGCCCCCTCCGGGGGGTATGAGTTGTTTTCTTTAAGCCAGTTGGTTCGGGACTTTTGGCTTCTGGCAACAGATGGTCAGCCGAGTGGCCATTTTGCGTCCTCCCTCCCCAAGCTGTGGTCACAGATGAAAGCCTTTGGGGAAGACAGATGCCTCCCGGGCCTCGGGGACAGGGGAGTGGCCCCCAGACCGCCTCCCCGGCCCCTCTGGGGCAAGGCTGCCCGTGACATGTAGGTTTGATTTCGCAGGATGGGAGGAAGTGAGGACTTAGCAGGCTGGTGTTTTCCGGGGGGCCGAGCCTCGGGTGCTGGTCCTGGGGCAGCCCCCGCCCCAGATGGCTCTGGACGGCAGGCAGTTCCGCCCCGGGAGAGCCCTGTCTGCGCGGGGGCTGGGGCGTGTTCCGCCTCACAGGCTTCGCCACTGGGAAGAGCGATGCCTGGTGGGTCCCAGACCTTCCCTGGCATGGGAGGTGACGGGCGGGTGATTTATGGCCACAACAGGTGATTGAGGTGGCTGGTGGGGGTGGGGGTGGCAGACACAGCACCTGTTCCTGCAGGGGACAGGTGGTACCAGGCCTGGACCGGGACGCAGGGTGCCTCTCCTGCCTTGTGGTCCTGTGTGAGCCTGGACGGCGTGTTCCAGGGCAAGGCCCAGGCCCGCCAGGGCAGCCCCCGACCTCGACCAGCTCACCCCTTGCTGACAAAGGGTACCCCGGCCATGAAATTGGTGCATCCAGCTGCCGCTGCCTGGGTGTGTGTGTGGAAGACTTCGTGCCGAAAGGGAAAAGCCGCGTCTGGGGCCGAGTGTGGGCAGGAGAAGGGCTGCTCGCCTGCGCCCCAGGCAGTCCTGGCTGTGAACGCCGTGGGAAGCCTTCTACCTGGGGCAGGGGCGGGGAAGCCGGCCCGGCCTCCCCGCATCTGCTGTGGTGCTGCCGTTGGGAGTCGTTACCACCCGGGAGCACTCAGGAGAGCTGGGGAGCGACGCAGCCTGGCTCCAGAGCGCGGTTGTGTGGTGCTCGTCCCCTCCCCAGAGGACAGCGCTGACTGGTCCGCCCGGCCCCTGTCTGCGGCCCGCGCAGGTGCAGACTTGGACGCCTGCCTGGTTCAGGAACGCAGGCTGGCCCTCCCTGGGCATTCCAGCCTCTGGCCGGATCCCACAACTAACAGTCACTTTTTTTCTTCTGTTTTGTTGAGGTGAAATTCACTTACCATGAAATTAAGCACTTGCAAGTGAATGACTCAGTGGCACTTAGGACGCTCACGGTTCCAGAGCATTCCGTCACCCCCAGGGGAGCCCCTGCCCGCTAAGCGTCATCGGGCCTCAGCTTTGGAGCCGGCACCCACTGTGCTCACTGTCCGGGGGTCGGGGGCAGCTGTGGCTGCGACAGGTGCCCACGGCTGAGTGGCAGGCGCAGTTGGGAGAGGGGTGGGGACTCACCACTGTGGCGTGTCTGCCGGCAGCTGCGGCGGAGCCTTTGTGGGCCCACGATGCCAGGACCCCAGCCCGTGCCTCAGCTCCCCCTGCAAGAACGCTGGGACCTGCCACGTGGTGGACCGTGGCGGCGTGGCCGACTACACCTGCAGCTGCCTCCTGGGCTTCTCCGGGCCCCTCTGCCTGACGCCCCTCGACAACGCCTGCCTCACCAACCCCTGCCGCAACGGGGGCACCTGTGACCTGCTCACGCTCGCCGAGTACAAGTGTCGCTGCCCCCCCGGCTGGTCAGGTGAGGGGCAGGGTGGCTGGGCGAGGCCTTCCCCGAGGACCGTGGGCGGGACCCTCGGCCTAAGGGGTGGGAGAAGAGCCAGGCCACCCCCAGCTGCCACGTCAGTCGAGGTGCTTGGCGGAAGTGCTGAGAGGGCTGGGGTCCGTGATCCTGAAAAAGCCTGAGCCCCCCCGCCCCCCGCCCCGAGGCCGCAGGGCCCCAGACCCCCACTGCCAGCCTCTGTGAGAAGAGGAGACTCTGTCTGGCCGTGCTCTGTCCTCTTTTTCCCGCCAGGGGCAAAGGCCCTGTCGGCTGGGGAGGGGGCTCCAGAGGGGACAGACGGGGCTTGGGCTCAAGGCCGCCTCTCCCCATGACAGGCTGTGTGGCCTTGGGGTGGTCACTTGGCCTCTTGGGACCTCTGGCCCCTCGTCTGCAGAAACACGACCACGTCCCGTGGCGGGCTCCTCTGAGGCGCCAAGGCTGCCCAGGCTGCGGGAAAGCCCTGGCCGTGGGCGCGGGGAGGCTGGCGCGACCCTCCTACCCTTTGCTCCGCAGGGAAGTCCTGCCAGCAGGCTGACCCCTGCGCCTCCAACCCCTGTGCCAACGGCGGCCAGTGCCTGCCCTTCGAGGCCTCGTACATTTGCCACTGCCCGGCCAGCTTCCACGGCCCCACCTGCAGGCAGGACGTCAACGAGTGCAGCCAGAACCCCGGGCTCTGCCGCCACGGGGGCACCTGTCACAACGAGGTCGGCTCCTACCGCTGCAGCTGCCGCGCCACCCACACCGGCCCCCACTGCGAGTCGCCCTACGTGCCCTGTAGCCCCTCGCCCTGCCAGAACGGGGGCACCTGCCGCCCCACGGGGGACGTCACCCACGAGTGCGCCTGCCTGCCAGGTAGGTGCTGTCTGCCGTACCTGCCTCCTGGCTGGACGCACACAGGCCCGTGCAGGCCCCTGCGCCTCGGCCCGGCCCGAGGGGTGGAGTGGGTTCCTGCTGTGCAGGGGGCCCGGAGAGGGCGGCCAGCAGGTTCCACGGAGCAGGGGATGCAGGGGGCCCTGGGATGGTGGAGGGGACCGAGCTGGAACAGGGGAGCCCGTTAGGAGGAAGCGGCACAGGGTCCAGGTGCCAGGCCGGGAGCCACCCACCCTCCACCCTGACACCTGCAGCAGCTTTGCCGGGGGCGGGGTCTGCCATGATCTGCGTAGCTGGGCCGTGACCCCCAGCGCACCTTCCCTGGACGTCCCCATCGCCCTGGTGCCCCTGCCCCGTGCCCCGGGGCACCTCACCCCTGCTCTGAACCCCCGAGGAAGCGGGAGCCTCTGGAGCCCCTTGTCGTCTGTGGAGTTCCCTGGACTCCACGTGCGAGTCCCGGGACTGCCCACCGCGACCGGGAGCGCCCTGGCTTGCACAGCCCCTGGGGCTTCCCCTTGTCCCCTGGGGGTCAGTGGGGGGGCGGGGTGCTGACCCTACTTCTCTCCTTGGGTGAGGTGGGGGTGCAGGCAGCACAGCGCCCCCTGCGCCCCGGTCGCATCCCTGTTCTACATACCAGGCTTTCTGCTGTGGTTCTTATTGGAGTGAATTTTGCCGCAGCTCTAAAAATAACGAGGATGTTTGAAAACCTCCAGGCTGTCAGCTGCACGCCACCTCGGTTAGGCAGGAAGGGGGTAGGATGTTGGCGGGGGTGGGGGTTGGGTGCCGGGGTGACTGACGGCTGCCCCACCCCGTTTGCGGCCCAGGCCTTGCAGAGGGGAAGCGCGATGCCTGCCCAGTCTGCTAAGCCAGCCCAGCCTCTGTCTGCAGACACCAGGCTGTGCATTTCCTGCAAGTCACTGGGCAGGCGAGGGGTGGTGACGGGCGGCTCCCCGCCCCACCTTCCCCAGGCACTCCCTGGCCACCGGCTCTCTGCAGGGCTGGAAGGCAGAGCCTTGTGCTTGGCAGGACCCCGGGCTCTGGGTTCAGACGTCTTGGTAGCCATGTGACCTCACGTTCCACCACACGGGTTGAGGGCCAAGCTCTTGCGGGGCCGTGGTGTGGGCCAGGGGAGGTGGGTGTGAGTGGCCTCATCTATGTGAGGACCCTCTGCACACGGAGCTGGCCCCCTTGGGCAGGGCGGGTGAGGACCCCCCATTAAGGCCGTAGTGGCTGAAATACTCTGGGCCCTGGGCCCACTCAGAGCCACCACCAGGCATGGGGACAGCTCAGGGTGTTGGGAGGTGGGCCTGTGGGGTCCACTTACCCGCCAGCGGGCCAGTCTCAGAGGCCAGGACGCTGGCATTGGGTCACCCCTCTGGTGCGGGGGTGCTTGCTGCGTGGTGTGGGCTCTGGTCATTGCAGGCTGGGAGAAATGAGGGGTGACCACCCAGGGCATCTGCTAAAATGCCCTGGGCCGGGACACCCAGGCCCGAGGTCAGACTCTCCTGGGCAGCCCTTGTGCCCAGGTCTCCCTGCGGGGCGCTCAGCCCCCTCAGAGTGGTCAGGGACCCCCAGAGAGACATGCCTGAGGAGTCACGGGGAACCAAAGCTGGGATAGAGCCCCGAACTCTGGGGGAGGCCCTGGCACTCTGGGAGCTTGGCAGGGTCAGAGTTAGGGCGCGGCTGAGCAGCAGAGGGGCGGCCAGTGGCACCCTGCAGCGTGCACAGGGCAGCCCCCAGGCCACAGGCCCCGCCCAGGACCCCCACCTGCTTGGAGTGAGACCCTCCGAGGCACAGGGTCCTGCCACACCAGAAGCAGCTACGGGGACTGGGCTCCGAGCTCCGATTTGGGGTGCCCCCCAAACCTGCGTGCAACATGCGCTGGGCTTTTCCTGGCCACCAGCTTCTGCTACAGTGCGGCCGGTGTGCTGGGGGGGAGTTCTCCCAGGGCAGGAGGGGTTCAAAGGCATCGCAGGCGTTAATGAGTAACTGGCTGCAGGTTTGGCTGTTGCCAGACGCGCCTTTTTGGATTGATCATTGAACCAGCGGGAGTTGAGCGGATTAATAGCTAACTGGCTGCGCAGAGGCCTTGCCGTGGGGGCCACGCCTTGGGGGCCAGCCCTGGGCTTGGGGAGGAGGCCTGCTCAGCCTCTGGGAGAGGTGGGTGCTGGAGCTCTGCCCCTGGGAGGCTGAGGGCCGTGGCTCTGCACCCCTCTGAGGCTGGGGGAGGGCCCACTGCATCCCGGCCCGCCAGGCCCTCCTGGGTCCCAGGTCTTCCAGTTCCCAGCTTGGGGGCCTACCAAGTCCAGTGCCAGCTCCTCTAAGATGGGCTATCTGTGGCTGCCCGCTCCCCTGGGGTCGCGTGGCGGTGGCAGTGTCCAGTAACGAGAGCCGCTGGGAGTGAGACCAGAGGGTTTTTGCAGCGGAGCCCTCAGACCCGCGTGCCTGCGTCTGTCTGCTCGGCCGTCTCTGCAGACTCCTGTTAGAGTGCGCCTGTCCCTGCGGGCAGGGAGCGCGGCCTGGTTGCGGGGGCACCCAGAGCAGGGTCGGGGGCGGCGAGCTCGTCTGTCCAGAGCAGGGGTCTGGGGTGCAGCCAGGGTTGGGAGATGTCGGAGCCCACGTGGTTCTGGGGGGGCTCGGAGCCAGAGGGAAGCAGCCAACCCGATCCTGCCTCCTGCCACAGGCTTCACGGGCCAGAACTGTGAGGAGAACGTGGACGACTGCCCAGGGAACGACTGTGAGAACGGGGGCGCCTGTGTGGACGGCGTGAACACCTACAACTGCCGGTGCCCCCCGGAGTGGACAGGCACGTGTCCGGGGATGCGGCCGGGGGGCAGCCACCCACCTGCGAAGCTGCACGCGCGCGGGGTGGGGGTATGGGGGGAGCACCCTGAGACCCGGTTCCGGGTCAGGTACCAGGCTGGGAGCCCCGGTTGGCTGAGGAGGACGTGGTGGGCGGCCACTGCCCACGGCCAGGGCCCGAGGCCTCTCCCCTGGCGATCAGCACAGACTTGGGTCAGCTGATCTCCAGCTATTTGCAGCCTGGCCCTGGGCAGGCTCCGTGCCCGGCACGAGGGCCCCGCTTTGAGTCGGCTGCACCACTCGGCCCCAGGCTGCTGGGCTGGAAGCAGGGTCGCGGGCAGGCCCACCCTCACGGGGCGCGCTGTCTGGTGGGGTGACGGGAGGGTGCACCACGACAGGGCTGTGTCCACGGAGTCAGAGACAGGTTAGAGCCCCCAGTGCTGGGCGTCGGAGGATGGAGTGATCTGGGTTGGCAGTGGGTGGGGAGTCAGCCCCAGAGCCTTCCTGGAGGGGGTGGCGTTGCAGCCCTGCACCTTGGGGCACGAGCTCAGTGTGGCAGCTGCCTGGGGTTGATGGTCCCGTTTCCCCCGCAGGTCAGTACTGCACGGAGGACGTGGACGAGTGCCAGCTCATGCCCAACGCCTGCCAGAACGGCGGGACCTGCCACAACACCCACGGCAGCTACAGCTGCGTGTGCGTCAATGGCTGGACCGGGGAGGACTGCAGTGAGAACATCGACGACTGCGCCAGTGCCGCCTGTTTCCAGGGCGCCACCTGCCACGACCGCGTGGCCTCTTTCTACTGCGAGTGTCCCCACGGCCGCACAGGTGAGTGGGCACAGGCCCCGACGAGGCTGGCTGGCGGACCTGTGCCTCCTCTGAGACACGGGCCACGGCTCCTCGCCACCCCCAGGACAGCCTGAGACGGCCTTTTCAGACTGGGGAGGCTGGGGAGGCCCGCGGTCGGGCCTGCAGGTGGTGAAGCCGCCACACAGCCCATCTCATGGGACACACAACGGGGTGGTGGTGGGAGGCTCCTCTGGGGCGTCGAGCTGGGGTCGGACCGTGGCTGGGGGCGGCTTCTGCCATGCCCAGGCCCAGGAGGCCGCGCCCGCTGACCGCCGCCGCTCTGCGCAGGTCTGCTCTGCCACCTCAACGACGCTTGCATCAGCAACCCCTGCAACGAGGGCTCCAACTGCGACACCAACCCTGTCAACGGCAAGGCCATCTGCACCTGCCCCTCGGGGTACACGGGGCCGGCCTGCAGCCAGGACGTGGACGAGTGCTCGCTGGGTAGGGGCAGGCGCGGGAAGCAGCAGGGTGGGGCGCGCAGCCTGGCCCCGTGGGAGGCTGGGATGGGAGCCCAGAATCGGTTGGAAGTAGACTGTGTGAAAGGTGCCCACCCACCTGGGGGGGACGTGACCCTGCCCTGGAGGACTTGGTCTGGGGGGAGGTGCACTCGGGTGTTCCAGACGCCAGGGGGTCCACCCGTGCTCCCACCAGGTGCCAACCCCTGTGAGCACGCCGGCAAGTGCATCAACACGCTGGGGTCCTTCGAGTGCCAGTGTCTGCAGGGCTACACGGGCCCCCGCTGCGAGATCGACGTCAACGAGTGCATCTCAAACCCGTGTCAGAACGACGCCACCTGCTTGGACCAGATCGGGGAGTTCCAGTGCATCTGCATGCCGGGTACGCAGGGCCCGCCCCTCCCGCCTGCGCACGCGCAGCCAGAGAGCGGGCATGGGGAAACTGAGTCAGGGCTGGGCAACCTCAGAGGGGCAGTCCCTGGGAGCACCCCGGCCATGTCTCCTCTTCCCCCAGTCTCCATGCTTGCTGAGGCCGTGGCTTCCTTGGGGCATCTGGGGAAACTGAGGCCAGGCCCACAGGGCCCAGCAGAGCACAGGACCGGAGCTGGGCAGGTGGAGCCGCCAGGGCTCTGGGCCCGGGGCTGCAGGGGATGGTGTGGACGGCGCCCGGTGGGCCAGAGGCAGGGCTATGTCTGTGCCAAGTCCCCAGCTGTGCCCTGGGGGCCCACAGCCGTTCATGCCCCTCACTGCCCGCTCCCCCAGGCTACGAGGGCGTGCACTGCGAGGTCAACACGGACGAGTGCGCCAGCAGCCCCTGCCTGCACGGCGGCCGCTGCCTGGACAAGATCAACGAGTTCCAGTGCGAGTGTCCCACGGGTGAGGCCCCCGCTGGCTGGCCGGGTCCGAGGGAGGAGTCCCACGCTCTCTGGGGGGCGCCGGGCTGGAGTGGGGTAGTGGCTGCCAGGAGAGTGAGGGTTTTGCCTGGGGGTGGGGGGTGGCTGTTTTTAGGCTCCCCTAAAGGGCAGCCAGGCTGGCGGGGCCTGCCCAGGGCCAGGGACGCTCCTCCCTGGTGAGGGGTGTGGCCCCTCCTGTCTGGAAAGAGGGGCACTGGGAGCCCACAGTGCGTCCCCCAGGACCCCGTAGGGCCTAAATGGGGCTGGCGGTGGAAGGAGGCCACATGCCCTGCCCTCCCCGCCCCCACCCTGTGGCATGCCAGCCACCAGTCACGGGAGCCAGAGACCCAGGGACCCCGGAGGGGACACTCGAATACAGTGACCTTGTGGGGCCTGGGGGAAAAGGTGTCTCCATCTGTTCCGGGTGCCAGCCCCGACACCAGGAGCAGGGGCTATTCACGGCCCGACACACCATGGCCACGGCAGCGTGGCTGGCGCGGGAGGCCCTGCTGGGGGCGGAGGGGCGTGGCCTGCCTGGCAGTGCGCGTGGACGGCTGTGGCTGGAGGAGCAGAGTGAGCGAGACCCTGGAGTCGGCCGAGGCGCCCTGGGAGCCCAGCCCGGCCGGCCGCACGCGTCTGGCGGGGGTCCCTGAGGGGCCATGGTGCCGCCACGTGTGACCACCCCTGCCTGGCTGCAGGCTTCACCGGACACCTGTGTCAGTACGACGTGGACGAGTGTGCGAGCACCCCGTGTCGGAACGGCGCCAAGTGCCTGGACGGGCCCAACACCTACGTCTGCGTGTGTGCGGAAGGTGCTAGAAGGTGGCGGGAGCCTGGTGCAGCTCTGACCCCGGGTGGGGGTGGGAGCGCCTCGCGATAGGAGACGCCCAGAGCCTGGGCAGGGACTCGGGGGCACAGGCGACCCTGAGTCTAGCTGGGGGTTTCCGAGGCGAGGCCGGCCCTGAGACCCCCTGCGCCCGCCTCCCCGCGCTCCAGGCTACACCGGGACCCACTGTGAAGTGGACATAGACGAGTGTGACCCCGACCCCTGTCACTATGGCTCCTGCAAGGACGGCGTCGCCACCTTCACCTGCCTATGCCGGCCCGGCTACACAGGCCACCACTGCGAGACCAACGTCAACGAGTGCTACAGCCAGCCCTGCCGCCACGGCGGCACCTGCCAGGACCGCGACAACTCCTACCTCTGCTTCTGCCTCAAGGGGACCACAGGTGGCTGGTCGGGCCGGCGGCTGGCGGCGGGGGGGCTGGGGGGGGCTGGGAGCTGATGCCCACGCACCCCCCGTCGCCCGCCAGGACCCAACTGCGAGATCAACCTGGACGACTGCGCCAGCAGCCCCTGCGAGGCGGGCACCTGCCTGGACAAGATCGACGGCTACGAGTGCGCCTGTGACCCCGGCTACACAGGTGCGGCCCGCGGAAGGGGCTGGCGAGGCTGTGGGCCGAGTTCAAGGTCGGTGACTGTCCCAGGGCTCTGGCCAGCCCCAGGATGGACCCCACCTGGACACCGTTGTCCCTGGTCAGAGCTGGCCTGGGCTGTGCTGGGCGTGGTGGCCCGGCAGGTTGAGGCCTGGTCCTGGGCTGCGCCTCCCGCCTCTGCTGCTCACCCCCGCCCTCTCCATGCTTTGGATTCGCACCAGCCGGGGACAGCGGCAGCCCCCAGGGGCCCCTGGGAGGACACCTTGAGTGGGTGCGCGGCAGCATTGGGGGCTGGCCGGCACCACGGTCCTGCGGCACATGGTTGCATATGAGGCGGTTTATGACGCCTCAGAAGGACCCGGCGAGAAGGGTTATTGTCCTGGTTTAACAGATGGGGAAACTGAGGCTTGCGTTAGTTAAAATCCGGCCGCCCAAGAGCCTGGGCACCTCTCAGGGTCGGGCCCCGGGCGTCAGTGCTGAGCAGCCCCCGCCCGCAGGGAGCGTGTGCAACATCAACATCGACGAGTGCGCGGGCAACCCCTGCCACAACGGCGGCACCTGCGAGGACGGCGTCAACGGCTTCACCTGCCGCTGCCCCGAGGGCTACCACGACCCCACCTGCCTGTCTGAGGTCAACGAGTGCAGTAGCAACCCCTGCATCCACGGGGCCTGCCGGGACAGCCTCAACGGGTACGGGCGGGCCGGGTGTCGGGCACGGCCACCCCTGGGTGCCGAACCCTCGGAGGCTCTGCTGCCGGGAGGGCAGGGCGGCGGGCCGGGCCGGGAGGGCGGGTGCTCCCCTCTGGGCCCTCCAGCTGCCGGGACTGTGTCCCGTGTTCCAGGCCTCGCGTGATCCCTGAAGCGCACGCGTGTTAGGTCACGGCAGCGAGTGTCTGACACTCCTCGTGCGCCCGGGTCTCCTCTGCCTGGATGGGCCGTTTCAGTCAGCAGGGAACCCCGCCCTCGCTCCGCGCAGAGGTTCGGTGTGAGTCCAGGGCCTCGAAGCGGGTGAGCCGTGGAAGGCCCCTGGCTCTGGCCCCGCATCGCTGGCGCCCCACTGCCCTGGGCACCGTGCCCCGTCTCGTGTAACCGCTCCTGCCGCAGGCTCGGGTGAGGCGGGCACGGCTGCCCCCACTTCGAAGCACCCTGAGGGTCCAAGTGGACGGGCACCTCCGTCAGACCACGGGACGGCGCCCACCCGGGAGTGCCCAGGCCCCAGGCCACACCTGACCTGCAGTGCGGTCCCCCTTTCCAGGTACAAGTGTGACTGTGACCCTGGGTGGAGTGGGGCCAACTGTGACATCAACAACGACGAGTGTGAGTCGAACCCCTGCGTCAACGGCGGGACCTGCAGAGACATGACCAGCGGCTACGTGTGCACGTGCCGGGAAGGCTTCAGTGGTGAGTGGGACCCGGGGGGCATCTCGGTGGCACAGGGCGGCCCCTTGAACGGGGGAAGCTCAAGGCCCAGGGTGGGGACACGGGTGCAGCCCGTGCGATCCACGGCGTCTCCTTCCCGTGACGGGCGCTGCCGCCCGTGGTGAGGAGCTGTTGGCCTGCGGCTCAGGCCGGCGCATCCTCCTCCAGGAGACAGGAGGGGAGGGGTGGGGGCCAGCGGGGCCCTGGCGGCTGTGGCTGGGGTGCCGGACGTGCTGACGGCCGACCCCGCCCTCCAGGCCCCAACTGCCAGACCAACATCAACGAGTGCGCGTCCAACCCGTGTCTGAACCAGGGCACGTGCATCGACGACGTTGCCGGGTACAAGTGCAGCTGCCCGCTGCCCTACACAGGTGCGGTGCTGCCTCGCGGTGCTGGCGGGGGGTCGCCGGGTTAGCAAAGATACAGGTGCCTGGAAGGAAGTTTCGGTACAAG